ACCCTAAGACCCTCGGAAACACGTATGAGTTCGGGGAAGGGATCTCCCGAATATTGGGTAGCTGTCGTTAAACCGGGTAGAATGATTTATGAAATGGGCGGGGTAGCAGAAAATATAGCCAGAAAGGCTATGTAGTCTTTCTTATATTTCTTTTTTCTTCAGATGAAGATAAAACCCCAGAATACGCCCTTTCACAAGTTAAAGCGCGAAAAACACTTCAAACTTTTTTTTTATTTACTTTATTTTATATCTGTTATATGTCAGAAAAGAAAAAGGAGAATGAATTTTTCTATTTTTAAATTCAATACAATATTAAATAAATAATAGGAAATTTGAAATACTCTTTTCTTGAATATCATTTAAAAATAAATCGTTTTTAATTTTTTAATTTTTCTGTAATATACGTTGTTTTTAGTTCATCATTATTACAAAGAAATTTATGTTAAGTTATGTTATCGGAAATTGAGAGGATTTTTAGGTTTTTTATCTCATGGTAAGAAAAGCGTTTCGATTTGATCTAAAATACTATAAGTGGTACATGCAAACTATAAGCTAATTCTACCGTTTTCAATTTATTGTGGAGTCGAATTCTCATCACTACAAGTATTAAGTTATTTGATCTTAAATTTCAAAATGTAATTTTTTTTTCACTTATGTGATATATATAGGGGAATAAAAGTAAAATCAAGCAAAAATCAGATCTTTACTTCCTCCAAAAATAACAGGGACACTCAACTAGCCATGCATGGTGTTCAGAAAAGCAAGATTCCTAGCCAAAACTTTCCAGTTTCAGCCCTTTAAACTGACACATGTCACCAATCATTAGCATAGAATCTATGCTTCTTTTGCAGTACCCACCATATGAACTTGTCATCGAGCTTTTGATGAATGATCTTAGGCAATCCAGCTTCGTGCTTGGTTACCTATATATGCTCCCAATTGAATCTTAAATCAATGCCAACGACAGCCATGGACTTGGGAAGTTATTTCAACACGTTATTGTTGTTACAGCTTGAAAACACAAAAAAATTGTTTCCATATTGTATGAGAGAGATTGAGATATTGACGGCTTATTTGCATGGTACGGCTTGTGTGGCCGACGAAACTATGAGCTCTTTACACCTGTGGTTATAAACTCAAGAGCTTTCACTTTCATGGATTCACATCAAAATTCAATTTCTATCTATACGTCTGGTTCCTCGTATTTCAAAGGGAAACCAGTTCCCAAATCGAACGAACATGCTTGATTCAACATTCCCCGTATCTCAAGACTCATAGAAAGCGAGTGAATGGATCTAGAAGAATGCATCCAAATTATGTGGGGCTGAAGAGCAGGATAAGACGTGACACGGCATACCCACCTGGATGGGCAACTTGCTGCCATAATCTTCGAGGGGAAGTAAAGACTTGCTAGCTAAAGTTGTACTGTTCTGGTATTGTTTTGGTGGGACACTCGAAAAGCCATAGAAAGAAAACAGATTTACATGGTTTATATCGAAGTAGATTTTTTAAGCTATAGTGAACGGTGAGTGTCCGAAAACCTGTACTTCGCAGCTGTTACCTACCCTGTGTTAGATGCCCACGTGACACATGAAGTTTCGGGATATTCATGTGGTTTTCACTGGCCCAGAATCATGGATGAAGATGGGTAGCTAGGCATGATGAAAATCTGGTAGAATGCTGCAAACCATTTAGGGCCATCTGCACGCACGCGCACACGAAAGAGAATGGCTATGGATGATTTGCAAATCATCTTCATGGACAGAAGGGATATCAGAATAGCATCAGCATCTTCCATATAAGCACTTAAGTGCTATGGATTTTCCTTACTGCATGTGTCGTAAAAGTTTTTCATATCATTTCACAGTTGACTAACTTCTCCATAAAAACAAGAGATTATATCTTATCATCCCAGAGAAGAAATGAGCACTGTATTTATTTCGTAGAAAGGTTATTTTTAAAATATTAATTACCAATTAGCAGGCAGTTATATTGATCTTATCATATACTTATTAATTATTATAATGTTCTCAAATAAGCACATCGAGCATCCAAGATATTGTAAAATGACTGAAGGTTACAGTCACAAAGTTACGTCAATTCAGAATGCCAGCGCGTCAGTCTTCATCAGCATGAAGTGAAGTAGCAGAATTGGCTGAGGTTTTTAAGTACCAGTAATTTATTAAAGACCAACTTAGGTGTGACCATGTCAAGCTGATTTGGATTCTCATTAACTAGATGTAATACAGTACATAGAACATATTATATATATATATTTTTTTTATTAACGTGGGTCTCATTAACTAGATGTAATACAGTACATAGAACATATTATATATATATATTTTTTTTATTAACGTGGGTCTCATTAACTAGATGTAATACAGTACATAGAACATATTATATATATATATATTTTATTAGCATGGGTGTCCGGATCAGCTTGCGCGCATCACGACTAATCTCATGGGCCCTGAAGTTAACGACCATGTAAGCCTCCAGTGGCGATCATATGAGCAACCAAGGATTCGAACCTAAGACCACAGAGGAAGCAAGCCCCTTAGTCCCAAGTCTTTACCACTTGGCCACCACCTAGATGGTTATATACTCTTTTTTTTAACAAATATATATATTGAGATTGTGATATTTTATACATTATTATTTATTTATGATATATTGAATTGATTTATATATCAATCATAATAACTAACTTGTAAAATCTATAATCTAAATTATAATATCATAATAACCACATAAAAATAAAGCAAAACAAATTAAAAAACACAGTTACTAATTAGCCAAAATATTGAATGACAAAAAAATTATAATTAAAAGAATAGCTCAAGTCACCCTGTAAGTAAATCTGTTAAATTAACTCGCAATCTAAATTACAAGAACAAGGTTATTTTATATATATATAAAAAAAAAGAATCACAAAACTTAATTCTCAATCAATCTATTGTTGAATAACAAGATCATAAAAGAAAAAATTTGAAAAAATAGTAAAAAAAAAGAGATCAAAGTCAATCTAGAAAATCTACGATCTAAGTTATAAGATTAGGATAACTTAATAGAAATCAAATAAAAAAATTATAAATTTCAATTCTCAACCAACTAATCTCACAAACTAGATCATGAAAACGATATTACCTCACATAAAGCAAATTAAAAAAAAACCTATAAAGCTTAGCTTTCAATCAGTCCATTGTTGAAGAACAAGATTAGAAAAGAAATAATTTACGAAAATAAAAAATAAATCCAAATCATCTTGAGTTAACATGGCAAATCGACGACTCGAGTCATAAGACTAGAAAAACTTAATAAAAAGCAAATAAGAAAAAACACCACAAAGCTCAATTCCCAACCAATCAAACCAAAACTTGAGTAATGGGAACAAAAAGCAAATTAAAAAAATATAAAACCTAATTTTCAACCAACTAATTATAGAAGGACAAAATTAAAAAGAAAATAATTTAGAAAAAACTTTTAGTCAAATTGGGTTAACCTAGAAAACTCATGACTTAGGTCATGGAACGAGTTAACTTAATAGCAATTAAATTAGAAATAATTATGAAGTTTAATTCCCAACCAATAAAATATTGAAGGATAAAATTAAAAATAAAAAGACCACAAAAAAAAATACAATTTGAGTCAACCTGACTAACTTTCTAAACTATTACTCGGGTCATGAGACCAGCATAGCCTTATAGAGAGAAAATTAAAAACAATCATAAAGTTTAATTCTCAACCCAATCCAACCCAATGTTAAAGAGTGAATCTAGAAAAAAAAAAGACAAAAAAAACTTGAATCAATCCTTCAAACTCGTGCCTCAATTATAAGACCAAAATAACCTTATATAAAAGAAAATGAAAAAAAATTATGAAGCTCAATCTCTAACCAATAAAATATTAAATGATGAAATGTTAAAATAAAATTTTTTGAAGAAAGGACCTAAAAAACTGATGTCAACTCAGGGTAACCTTCTAAACCCGTGAACCCAAGTCATGTAGCCAGAATTACCTTATAGAAGATAAACTAAAAATGATCACAGAGCTCAATCCCTAATTAACCCAATAATGAGGGAGATTGAAATAAAAAATCCAATTAAAAAAGATCTAAAACAAAAAAATTAGTAATTAAAAAAAAAGAACTAAATTTGATATAAAAATAAAATAACAAGACCCCTTACTATTTTTCAAAGGATAAACATGAAAAATGAGGAGATAAGAAAGAAAAAAAAAAGAGGTTATCACTCACTGCACCACCTGATCGGTCTCGTTAAGATGTTTCCAATGCTATTAAAAAAGACGACACTACTATATAGAAGAAAGTTGTACAAACTGCTAAAGCATAATGATTTTCTTCGTATATTGGCATGTGCAATGCATGCGTTGGACTCTTTATCAATACTCATAGACCTGAGTCCAATTCAATTTTAAATTTTGCTTTTAAACCTTAATAAAATTAAATTTTATTTTGCAAAATCGAGCTTAAATTGCATATCAAAATTTTTCCTCGCCATAGCAAAATCCTTATTTCTAGACAACCAAAAACACTATTAAGTTTAATTTCAAATAAAATTAATTTTAAATGATCAAATTAAAAAAAAAAATCAAGTGACCATAAAAAATAGAGTTGATCGTACTCTTTGACCCTGTAATTCAATCATTGATTCTTAAAAAAAAAAAGTTGAATATTTATTTATTTTTTAAATTTAGTTATTATAGTTTCAATTGTTTCCAATAAAAAAAAGCATTTAAGCTTCGCAAACTAAGCATTGATTGAGTGAGGAAAGTTAGACAATCAAACCACTAAACTTAATCTCAAATAAAGACAACTTCAAATAAACAAATTGAAGGAAAAAAAAAACACTCTAATTGTAGTAAGGGATGTGGATTTCCCCCCGCACCTTTTAGGGTTTTTTTTTTTTAGTATTATTATTATTAATGTTATCGTATTAGATTATGAGAATATATAGCCATAAACGGTCTAATAAGAATTCAAAAATCACATCGCTCTATAAGAAAAACCATAAAAATATATTTAGTATCAACTTAATAGATTCAGTAATATTCCCTCTTAACCACAAAGATTAAGGAATAAATAACTATCATTATTACCCATAAAAAAATTTGAATTGCTAAATGAGGAAAACCCAAGGACAAAATTTAGGCCTACTCTGCCTTTTCACATTATGGTGCAACATTTAGGGTCAGGTGGAAGGGGTGCTGGCGGTGCTGATGGAGCTTTACTGACTGGTGATGGCTGCTGCTGAAGTTGATGCTGTAATAGAGGAGGAGGTGGTGGATGCTGCTGTGGTGGTGGAGGCCATGGAGGCGGTGGCTTTGTCCCTAGCAGAGGCGGTGGCATTGGCATTAGATACGGATTTCTCCCATACAATTGTTGTTCTGGCCCTCTGAAGAAAGGATATGGAATTGGAGGGTACGGAACCTCATATGGATTATAGGGATTGTCTCCATAAAATGAATAAGGTATTTGTTCCATGACCTCACCATCAAACCTAAGAGATGAGACCTCTCCATGTTTCCCAAATTTATCAAAGACATTCAAAATAGTAGAGGGATTTACTTTTCCATTGACCTTCAATGTCCCTTGTTCTGCATCTAGAACCACAGAATATACTCCTACCAATAAAAGAAGAAATAAAAAATCTATAGTAAAACAAGGTCAATGTTACTTAGAGATATATTTTCATGTGATCATAATAAGTTATGACAAAACATCAATCGAAATAGATTAGTACCTTTTAGATTCTGTAACACTTCCATCATTTTCCTTTTACACCCATCACAATGGACATTCACTCTCATCATACAACTCTGCAAAATACATACTTCAAGAAAATGGTATGGACAAGGAATACTGCTTCAAGTAAAATCAATAAGAGCTACAAGAAATTAAATCAAACTGAGGATTGGAGTCTAACCATCTGTGCATTGGAGTCCATTTGAAGGTACTTGGAACAGTGCTGTGTATTTTTTTTTCCAGAAGACTTGGAACAAAGTTTCATGAGGGAGAAGGAGAGATTTAATACCAGAAACATCAGAGAATGTTGGGCTGTCAATAGTTGTCATGAAGGTTTGATTTGCAATTGTAACCAAGAACATCACGAAATTTTTAACCCAATAAGGTAAACATTGAAAAAGAGTCTATATTCATTTCTCAAGTAATCGACTTGTGATCTTGTTTCCATACTTCTTTGTCAAATTTCAAACTCATTCCTCGAACCTCTTCCATCTTTCTTATAGTTATGGTGGAAAATAAAAAAAGATATCGCCTTATCCTAATAAAAGGTCATTACTTCACTAGTGTGATTTATTTAGAAAAAAATCAAATTTATTCCGTGAAAAGGCAATGATATTATTTTAACGTCTAGAGATGTTTACTATGTATTGTTGAAATACTGCAATAGTTCTGTTTAATTAATTTAAGTTTCCTATATTATATCCGTTATCCTGATAGCAATTAATCTATCTTTATTTTACTTCCTGTTTTGGTCCACAATTAGAGATATTCAGAGGTTGGTTAATGGTTAACTGTATTGATTTTGTCTGCATCAATACAAGCGCTAGTCTTTCAATTTGGAGAACAATCTGCTAACCATTAACCAGGTTGCATGAACAATTGTGCAGAGAGAAAAATTACACTCTGTGTATATGAACTTAATCCTTTTCAATTAAGTATTTTAATTTCATTTCATTTTCAATCGAGGATTTCAACTCTCAACTATCAAAAAAAAAAAAAAAAACCTTTTCCAATCAAGTAGCTCAACTCTTGAAGTTGTTTCCAGGGAGCACTTCAACTTTCGGAATCTTTGATGGTATGTACTGCTCTGACAAGAAGGAAAGGGTGTGCACAGAAAAAGCTTCGATCTCGAATTTTACTCCCTTCTGCAACATGAGCTCTAGCTCCAACCTATCAAGGAATATTATACCGCCCATTATTTATACATGGTGCACCACAGCCATAATAAGCATGGGCATGCGAGGCACGCGTGCACACACACCAATAATATTAGAATATTATCTAGTGTCACAAAAATCCTACCTCCATTCCGGCACTTCCTTTTGAAGGTAGCATCTGAGTAACATAGTCTCGGTTCTTCTCTTGTCTAACAGGCCAAAAAAAAAAAAACACAAACTAGGAAATGGTACTTGAAAAAGTAAAGGAGCAAGCAGATTTAAAAGATTGAAAACTAAATTTTCACACCCTCTGCTGTCAATGGGAGCAAACACTGTTGCGGAAGATTATATTTCTCAAAATCAGAAGGAAAAGCTCCAAGCCATTGTACCTCCGGGACACGCAAAATTTTTGCATCGTATGCCATTTGCTTCCAACATTGAAGTGCAAGGTAGAAAGAAAGAAAAAGGAAACAAGGCACAGGGTTAGATGAGATTTGGGAATCTACATTTATATAGATATCTTACTCTCAAACAGAATTGAATAGATAAATATCAAAATAATATGTTATCCAATCAAGAAGCCTAACCATGGAACCAAATCGATAGGTAGTCAGGATGTCAAAGCCATATGGATCACAATCTACTAAACAGTAGACAGGCAGACACAGCTTCTCAACAAGTAGCCGCAGGAACCTGATAGTGCTTAAGAGTTCATAGAACAAAGATCAAAAAGCTCAAAGTCATGAGAATGGCATATGCAACATACTGTGCAGAGGTTTTCTACCTTCTGGTGGGAATATCTGGATACCCTCTTCCCTGCAAAGCACAGAAAGAGAAATAAACACAAAAAACAATGGAAAGAAGAGATAATCAACAAAGTTTGCACTTACAGTGATCACAATACAACGGTTTGCGTTACAGAACTTATCATTTGCTAAACGCTGGAATACTGGATGTCAGATATTCAAATTCAGCCAACTAAGAGATCTGAATCATGGAACTCTTGGTTTCTCTTTAAACAGGAACATTGAAGATGAGACGATTTACCTGATTCCTTCTCCACAATGAGTATGTATTTGGCAACACTGACAATATCTATAAGCAAGAATTAGTGGCAATCAGTACTCAAGAATTTCTTTCATAGAATGTTTCATTAATCAAGCATAAAGCCCGTTAGATAAATACTTGAAAGTACAACTTGAACAACAATTGCAAATGCCATTCATGAACTTGAAATAAAAAAAAAAATGTTGAAAATTTGTGTAAAACAACCCAAATGTATGAGATATTCTTTTTCCTTTTCAATCAAATGGTAATGTGCATTTTGGATCGGTTAAGTAGTCTAGTATCATACAGCCCATTGCTGTCACTTAACAGTTACTTTCTTGATATTTTAGCTGAGATACCTTTGACTTCTTCAACGTGCACAGGGATGGTATAGGCCTGCAAATGAGTCAGATGCACAATTATATTCCAGAATGTGAGAAGTTGACTCAGTCTACGATCTCTTTCATTCTTACAGTGGTAGGGCAACTTATGCAATCAAATTTCCTCCCAGCTTCCAAGAACTGTAACCATCCCATTACCAACCTATATAACAAGCATAGATGGATCCATAAATAATAGGATATCTTATACACAATGAAACATAATTCTCATTGCTTCTTTCAAGATTTAAGTGTGACCCAGAAGTACCCACCCGTTTCCAACAGAGACCTGCCAAAGGATTTGAAAGTAAGTGTATTTCTCAAGATGTCAAAAACAGTAGTTTTCCTTCAAATGAGAGAGCAGCTTAAGGAATCAATCTCAAAAACTGGAGAGGACTGTCATCAAACATATTGACTACTTATTTTACCTTCCACCTCTCAACTGATTATAAAGGCCAGACTTCACTAACAATCAATCAGGAAAAAAAAAAAAAAAGTACTGTTGCACTTTACTAGCAGTTATAAAGGATCATGACAACTTGGAGTTGGTTACGAAAACAGAAAAAGAGTAGCCTCTTGCTGCTAATGATAGAGTCCATTCTTAAATTTAATATCAAAAGAACTGTCATGTTTAAGATATTAACTAGCATCCTTTCCCAAACCATGTGAACGTTTTCCTTTAAACTCTCATATGCAGTATCCTTTAAACAAAAATAATTTCAAGGTGAAACCAATGTAGCATCTACCACATTTAGGTTGTGACGACTGCATTGCAGAAGGATGCATATGTCATTAATTGCGCGGTCCACAACAGACTGTTCTGCATGACAAAAAAAATGTAGAAAAAAATTACAATCACTTCATACAGTTATAGCACGTTATTGAGTGCAATTTTCACAAGTAAAATAAATTGTACTGAAAATTGGGTTTTGCAGGCACCTCATTATCAGCAGTTGAATTGCACATGATAATATAATATAACATCTAACAAGAACCATGTCTCTATCTTCTAAAGCAAGAAATGTATTAAATTCACCGGAAAACACAGATGGGTGCATGTAATATATATCTCTCTTAGACCCATGTCGGTTCTCTTGCAGAAGTTTCTGAACAATCACCAGCACTCTCAGCAAGACATCTGAAATTCAACAAGGAGACCAAAAATGAACTAATGCTTGCATCTCCAACTCGATTACATAAGTTCCTCCAGACAATTCAATTCAATAACGTACACAACTCACCTATTCTATATGCATGACATTGTCTCGTAAGTGTGAGAACTTGTTGCCCCTTTGGCAAATCAGAGCTGCACAAGCTGCATAAACCGATAGATAGGTAACAGACCCTCGCACTTCATTACACATGAGATAACTAGAAACCCATAAAGGGTATTCAAATCATAAGATAGTAGACATTTAAACACACCTTATCTTCTACTAGTAACAATCGATTGTCGTTTTTTCAAAAAAAAATCAAAATTCTAAAATTCTCGGAGTAACTTGTTCGCAATTTTTGTTTATGAGAACGCAAACAGAACCCATATATTGCATTAGTAATTTCATGCTAAAATTGCAATTAATTAAGCAACTTGTAAAAATATTGATGAAAACAAACCAGTTAGAATTGGGATCGGTGCAGTAGTTTCTAAATTTGTGGATGCAAACGCTAGGAGATTTTCCCTCGCTTATTTCTTTCACTAATGATGCAGTCAAATCTGCATTTATCACCAAAATTAGTTGAATTATAGTTAATTATAGAAATGTAAATTGTATTTCGTAATTTTGGTGACCTTTGATTTTTGAGAGTAAAGCTCTTGAGCTTGCATTTCTCTCCATTATTTTTTATTTTTCTCTTGCCTGTCTAGAACTGAGAAACTGTTAGTTTGTTTCTTTCCTTAGTTATTATTAAAAGAATTGTATTTGCCTTGTGTCAAACCGAGGGATGTTTTTGTCCAGTGTATTTAACCAGATTCCAGATTAACCAGTGTAGTTTAGTACTTTTCATAAATAAAATATTATTTAATATAAGAAAGGCGAATCCACGTGGAAATGATACACGCGTGTGGGCTCTCTTATGGTTTTCAAACGACACGTGTAGTAATTAAACTTCAGCGATAGTGTTTTAATCCTCACGGCGTCTCTTTTATTACTGGGCAAATAAATGTATTCGCGCTGGTGAGTTTTTTTTTTTTCTTCTTTTATTTTTTTTTTCTTGTTTCAAAGCATAGTTATCAAACGGTTAATCCGTCCAAAAAACTGGGTGTCAGGTTTCATGGGTTACCGAATCAACTTGAAAAGGTTAAAAAAATTAAAAATTTAATATTTTATATAAAAAATTAAAAAAATCAATGTAAATATATATTATAAATAATAAAATTTTAAAAAATATATTTTATTTTAAAAAAATATAATTTTTTTTATGTATATGGAACATATTTATGCAGGGCTTCAAATCACATATCCCCCAGCAATCATTACTCGATCACTTCCTCTCCTCGCCTTCATTTCCCTACTTTGCCTTTCCCCCGTCTGTAGTAGCTTGCGGAGCTTGTTATTTAAGTTTTATATGTTTCGTTATCAAGTTTGACTCAAATCTGTTAATTTTTATGAGATTTAAATATTAGGTTGATTAGTATTTATGGATCAAGTTTTAATTTTGTAAATAACAGTTTATGCATTATAAATATTGGTTTAGTCCGAGTTTATCTGGATTATGAGTTGATCTATTAAGTCGACTAGGTCTTATTAGTTTTTTGTATTTACCGGTCTTTTTTCTAACTCAAACCAATCCAGTTATTATATCGATTCGTCAAACTGATCTAAATTTAATAAGAATACTTCCAAGCCAATTTCTTATATTTTTAAATAGCCTGTGATTAATTACTCTTGTAGATTTAGTATTTTTTTTTTTGTTAGTTATCTATATAATTTAATTTTTTAATTTAATTTTTTTTACTTTTTAAATTTAGTTTCTTTATTTTTGATTTTTTTTATTTTTCTGAATTAAATTATTTTTTTAATTGTATTTCTTAATATTTTAATTATTCTTTTAAATAAATAATTTTTTCAATTACATTTCTTAATATTTTATATCATTTTTAATTAATTTTTTTCAATTACATTTTTTCATATTTTATTTCATTTTATTTAATATCATATTTGTTTTTTATTCTCTTAATTGCTATTTGCTTTGATTTTAATCCTGTTTTTATTGCAACTTTCTCTTTCAATTTCATCTCTTAATATCTTATTCATTGAAATTTTGTTGATTTTTTGAATTACATGCTTGAAAGATCGAGTCGAGTTGGCATAGATTTTATTTTAGTTGCTTTTTATAATTGATTTTTTGTTGATATTATTTTTTTATAGAATTATCACAATTTTATATGTCAAGTTACAAGTTTCACATGTTAATTTAAATTTACTTAAAATAATATTATTTTTTTAATTTATTTGTTGATGTTGTTGCCTAATTTTATTTGTCATATTATCAAACTAATCAAGGTTCAACTTGAATATCAGATATTTCTTAATTGATTTTTTTTCAAGTTGAACAAAAATCTTGGCATGACCCCTAATGTCACACGGGCCACCAACCTATTTTATATACTAAAAGAAATGCTATTTCAATGAAAAAATGATATAATTGAATAATGTTTTTTATTTTATTACTATAGTGATTATACACTATAATTTTTTGAGTAGCTGAACTTAAAATATTATGGAGTATAATAATATAATGATTTTTTGTTCTTTTTTAAAAAAACCTTCGAAATAGTTACTAGAGCTAATATCATTTTTTTTTAAAAGATTATTGGTTATTATCATATTAATTGGGACAATTCAGTCTTTTCATGTTTTTAAATTATAGTAAAATAACCAAATTAATCTTACAAATTTTTATTTAATTAGTAGCTAGGGCTTTTTTTTTTAATTTTCACTTTTTAAAGCAGGGTCAAATAACTAAATTACTTTTAAAAAGAAAATTATTGGAACTGACATATAAAGGTTTTTCATGTTTTCATCCTCATTTTTTAGTTCTAATTAAATTAGGTGAAAGACAATTTGATATTTTAATAAATATAAAATATCATTTAAAAGTTAGCATGTGAATCGTACACTTGAATGAGTTAGAAATCCCGTGCTCTTTAAGCAACATGTGAGGATCTCTTAGAATCCAAACACAACATTTAAAGATGATATTTGTAATATTTTAATATCCTCTTCCTAATGGTCATGTATAAGAAGAGATAATAGTTGGGCTTTAGTAGATTTTTTTTCTTTCTTTTTCCTCGCTTTCTGTTTCAAGCCCGCTCTTCTAACAATTAAAAGTGCATTTTTGTTTGAATTTGTGTCAATTTTTATTTTTTTTATTGCTATTTGATGTATTTTTAATGTGTTTCTAAATTGATTTTATTTTTCAATCACATCCCTCAACATTTGCTTTCATTTAATTTTTGTATTCAATTTGGTCCTTATTTTTTTTATTGTTATTTTTTAATCATTTTCTTGATTTATTTTATTTTTCAATCTTATCCTTTGTTATTTAATTTTATTTAATTTTTATATCAGATTTAGTCTTTATTCTTTTAATTTCTATTTAAAATTTTTTATCATTTTTTTATTTATTATATTTTTTAATTTTATCCCTCATTATTTTATTTCATTTAATTTTTATACTAGATTTAGTCTTTATTGTTTTGATTGCTATTTGCTTTATGTTTTTAATTTGGATGATTAGGAATCTTATTTCATGATTTTTTTTCATATTTATCTTCTATGGAGTAATTATGATCTTATGATCTAAGTTACAAATTTTAAAAATTAGATTGATTTGACTTTGATTTTTTAAGTCCCTTTTTAAATTGATTTTTTTCAGTTTTGTCCTTCGATAATAGGTTATTGGGCATTGAACTTCGTGAATCTTTCCACTTTCCTTTCTATTGGATTATCCCAATTTCATATCGGGGATGGTAGTTTAATCAAGTTAACTCGATTTTTTATGTTAGTTTAATTAATTTTTTTAATTTAATATTTTAACATTTAGTTTGTTTGAGAGTTGACGTCTATTTTTTTTGTTCAATTTATTTTGTATGGGGATATCTCAACCTCATGACTGGGTCATGAATATGGCATGTTGACTAAAATTAAATCTTTTTATTCTTTTTTAAAATTAATATTTCTCTAGTTTATCCTTTAATGTTTAATTTGTTGGTAATTGAGTTTTATATATTTTTTTTTATAAATTTATTTTATTCTTGTTTAATATTTGTTTTGTTATCAAATAAAATTATTAAGATTTTTTTAAAATATCGAGAGGATATTTTTTTAATAATTTTGCCAAGACTTTATTTTTTTTATTAGTCATTATTGTTTTTTTTATCATATGTTTTTCATAATTATATTATTCTTTTTTTATAATTATATTATTCAATTAATTGAGTTTATTTAACCGATTGAAATCAATGCTCTACTAAATTTCTTTTACTTATTTAAAAACACTATCATTTCTCAAATATTGTTTATATTAAGAAAGTATTCCAATATATAATGGAGCGCGGCCACTTTCCTAGAAGAGAAAGAAAGGAATTGAGAGGATTTTTAAGTGTTTTGTTTTTAATTATTAATTTTTCAATGAAATCCAAATAGAAGGGACATTAAAACTCATAATGTCTCGGGGACAACATTAGGGATTTATTATTATTATTATTTATTTTTTTAGGGGAATTGGTTTTTTTTTAATCAAGTTCAGGGGTATTTTAATAACTCAGCTGTAAAGTTTGACATTTGACAGTACTTTCTAATCTGCAGGACAGACAAGATCGCAACTCAAGTAAAGTGAGTTCCAGCATGCTCCAAAGATCTTCGCGAATCGAAATTGAAATGCAAGTCTCTCCTTAGGTAATTTATCTCTGTCTCCCTGGAACTTTCAGATCTCTTCTGGGAATTAAGCTTTGTATTTGTTTGAGAAAATTCTAACTTCAACATCTTTTTTAATGAGAACTCGTTATTTGTATTGTCAACGAAAATATAGCTCTCTTTGGATCCCTTTTGCTTTGTATTTATGATTTTTCCTTCGTAGCTCCCGTTTGGCTCGCCAACTCTTTTGACTTTCCTTTCTTTATTCGTAATTGTGTTAGTTTACCATGTGAAGTATGTGAAAGTGAATTCTTATGCATCCCAATTGAATAGTGAATTCTAGGGCTTGTCATTGAAAAAATCCAAGTTCTAACTAGATTTCCTTCGTTTTTTGGATTGGTAGAAGAAACTTGCTAGTCACATGTCCCCTGTGCATTCTTTCAATTGTTAAGCTCTGGCCAAAAACAGATGAGAAGGACAGTTCCATTACACTTGTAGGGAAGGAGCTAAGTACAAGACTAACAATGAATTGTGTAGTAGCATAGATCTTAGAGGGTATAGCGAGGAGTTTTCTAGGGAATTTCCTAACTGAAGTACAATTTACATTTGATGCAAATCAATCTGAATCCATGAGTCAAACAAGAAGTTCAATTTTGGTGAAGAGGGTTGTAGTTGGAATTGGTAGTGAGACTCCTGAACTTATCTCCTAAGTTTTATGATAATCCTTTTCTGTTTGCTAAATGCTTCACTATATTTAAATCGTTTAGAATATAACAAAAATGGACTCCTTTAGGTGTCTAAATCATTATAATCATGATGTCCAGACTTTTTGTCTTTGCTCTTTACTTGTTGCAATAATTTGTGTTGCTATATATAGTCGTACAATTTTATGCTGCTGGAGCTGCATTTTCTTGATATTGTCTTTAGTTAGCTCACGAGCTTTTCCTTGCTTAGCCCGCCACTTAAGGAAATTATGTTGTAGAGTTTCAATTACTATTGTTTCTGCTTGTAATACGTGGCAGAACAGTCAACAACGATGTGTGTGTGTGTGTTTGTGATTAGTAGTTATGAGGAAATACATACCTGAGAACTCAGTGATTTGGGTGGAGAAATATTACTTTGCATTAAATAGACAGGAAGAATGTTAGTTATTTGTGCAATTTTTGTTTATGCTTTGATGTTTTGAATGTGCTATTTTTGGTCTGAGCTTGCTCCCCGCTCTCATCCTAAATGTATCTATTTTTCTGTCTCAATGAGATGCTATTTGTAGATATCAACTTCATTTATGTAGCAATGAAAGACCTGGAATCTGACTGATGTACTTACTGGCAATTATCTTACAATTAAATGTTAATCCCTTTTTTTGCCAAGAGAGTGCTGAAGTAATCTATAACTCTTCCCAACCAAGTAATGGTAACTATGTTTTACTGTCAAAACTTTATATCTTAGTGAATTATTTGTTGTTGTATTTGTTCTGTATACAATATCTTTAACAATTTGCAGGTTTTCTAGGAGCTCAATACGCATCTGCTTTTGCTAATTTACGTAAATGGCTTGCAATGGTGCAAAAAAGCCCTTGCTGTCAGGATTGGTGGATTCCACCTCTCAAAGAATTGATGAATGTACTCCCCACAGAAGAAGGTTTCGCCGTGTTAAAAGTGCTCCTGTAACAGAGCTTGTTCCTTCAGATATTAGTGGCAACGGACCAATTCCACATTATGAATCCTTTTTTGGGGGGCGTCACCAGAGCCTGAAGCAAGTAGCTGTATTCTTGGCTGTCTACTTGGGTCTTGGCACTCTATGTTTTTATGTTGTCAGGGATGATATCAAAGGGAAGAAATCAAATCCGATTCTCGATTCTATATATTTTTGTATCGTAACGATGACCACTGTAGGATATGGAGACCTGGTGCCCGATAGTGCTCCTGTGAAATTACTTGCCTGTGTTTTTGTCTTCACAGGGATGCTTCTTATTGGATTGATACTCAGCAAAGCAGCAGACTATTTGGTGGAGAAGCAGGAAATATTACTGATTAAAGCTCTCCGCATGCACCAAAAACTTGATCCAGCTGCATTTCATAAGGAAATTGAAACCAACAAGGTCAAATACAAATGCTATTTGGCCATAATTATTCTTTCAGTGCTTATGCTGGTTGGAACCATTTTCCTATACATGGTTGAGGACTTGGACATCATTGATGCTTTCTACTGTGTCTGCTCCACCGTTACAACTCTAGGTTATGGAGACAAGAGCTTCTCAACTGTATATGGCCGTATGTTTGCTGTATGTTGGATACTGACGGGTACTGTTGCTTTAGGCCAGTTATTTCTTTACATTGCTGAGCTATTCACTGAAAGCAGACAGAGGGCATTGGTGAACTGGGTTCTTACCAGAAGGATGACCAATTTAGATTTGGAGGCAGCAGACATAGACGATGATGGTGTTGTTGGGTAAGTTACTCCTCCTATAATATTCCTTTTGGATTTCGTTGTAACTTGTTTCCCTACTGTTTAGTTCTTTCTTTTCTGGTATAATTCGTGGATGCAGTTTATTGTATCAATTGGCAAGTCTGTTAGCTATTTACGTTGCTGACTCTCTCCTTCCTTTACCCAGGGCTGCGGAGTTCGTTGTATATAAGCTTAAAGAGATGGGAAAGATCAGCGAAGAAGATATTGCACTAGTAATGAAGGAGTTTGAGGATCTTGATGTTGATCAATCTGGAACCTTGTCAGCTTCTGATATCATGGCACAGGCAGCTCTAACACACAAGTGACTGAACCATCAGCAAGAGAATGTTTCTTGTATCAAGTTTACCTCAATATGTTCATGGATTTTCTACTTTCATCTTCAAAAAAGGTCATTGCGTGCGAATTCACTGTAAGTTTCACTAAGCATGAGATAAACTTAATTAATTCACGGAAAACTTTATGACATTTTGTCATAAGCAATCTTAGAATTTCTCCTGGGTGGCAGAGGGAGAAATATGATAAATATCAACTCAATCAGATGAGGGGGAGTGAGGAAAAACTGTGGATTCAAATTTTGACCGAATTTTTAGCACAGCTTCTATTGAAATTTTAATATTTACGAGTTGTTAATGAAAGAAGCAAGATTTATAGGGTCCTTTACGGATATTATGAATTGACCGCCGAAGTGTTCTAAGAATCACATTTTTAAGGTCAAGAGTTAAAATTATCTAACTATTGTGACAAATAACACTTTAACACCTTTTCTATTTTCATCACTGTCCATTATTACAACCACTATCTTGCTATAACCAACTCGTTTATCCATGGTCACTGCTACTACCATCACCACCTTACTATAACCAACCCATCATTTTATTGTCAATGCTCCACAACTATCGTCTACACCATTTTCATTACAGCATCACCACCCTATTACCATAACACATTGTTATTTCATTATCATCATATTGTGTTTTTTTTATAAAAAAAAATAACCAAGTCTATCTTTATATAATGGGTTGAGTTTTCAATTTATTCTTATATTTTAATGGAGTCTATTTTATCTTTATAAATAATTGAGTTCCAATCTATCCTTGTGTTAACTTTTTTAATTCAGATTAACATACCAAGCCGGGTCACTAAAAATAGAGGAGAATTAGGTTTCAAATAGGGAAAGAAGCTTGGTCATGTGTGAATTTTCTTTTAAAAATAATAGCACATTTTCTTTTAAAAATAATTATACTATTTGTCGCATATTTTGCATATAGGTGACATGTTCATAAAGCTTAAGGTTAATTTTAGTATAATATTAAGTCATATGTATGACTGATTTAGTTATTTTGATGGAAAAATTTAACAAATAATAGATTATAAACTCAACCATTTTTAAGGATAAAATTAACACAATTAAGAATATAAATCTAGACTATACCATTTCTTCTATTTTTTATTAAACCCTTCAAAATTTATTTTATATAAAAAATCTATTACATGAAACACAAAACAAACAGCTTCCCAAGTTTAATAATTTAATCATCAATAATGAAAATTTGTATTCAAGGATATGTCAATCCCAAGTATATTTAATAAGGAAAAATAAATTATAGCTAAAATGAATAGATTTTATAAAGAATTATACATCCCAAACAAGTGTTCTATATGAAGAGTTGAAAAAAATAAATAAAAGTATATAATTATGTGCATACTCATGATCATTAATTTCTTTCAGATTACAAGTGTCAGTGATCATGGTGGTAGAGTTGCTAGTATGAAAATTTTCTTATGCTATATATAATTTTTATAATAGCAACTCCACCACTACAATCACTTTATATATATAGAATAAAATGTTGGAATCATTTATGAATTATTATAGTAACATCAATGTTAAATAATTTTTTTGTAATTTGATATTTGAGATTAAGTTTTATACTTCATTAATGGTTGTATTTTGATCAATAATTAAAAGCTCTCATAACCCTTTTTATTTTTAGGTATTTTATATTAAAGTAATGGATGCTTATTGTACACCCTTTACTATTTATCCTTCAAAACAACTTGTTCACCTCACTGTTCATTCTTATTATTTTAGGTTATTATAGTTTTAATGAAGTCATGTGACACGACCAAAAGATTGATGTCTTCTCCCAAGTATAGGAGTGTCGAAGTAATAAATAACCCGACAAGACCGGGGTCAAATCATAGAGAGATTAACTGTATAAATTATAAATAATAATGATGATGGTGGTGGTGGTGGTGGTGGTTTAAAGAGGACTTTGAGATATAAGATTAATGTAAGAATTAAATAATGATTAAAATAAATATTAAGATTAAAGGATCCACTAATGTTATTTCAAATAAGTATAGTATAAACTCTTTTTATTACTCAACTGTAAACCACACACAAAAAAGGTTCCAATCAGATTATAATAAGATTCAAGTTAACTAAGTAAAGGGAAGAAAATGAAAAGCCTAAATATTAATGAAAGCAAAACTTAAGCATTACAAAAATATAAAGAGAGAGAGCAAGAATATGATCTTGATTTAAAAATCAAGATGCCTAAATGCATGACAAATACCTCATTTAATAGGCCAAAATTTAGAACTATTAATTTATTGACTAATTGTTGAGTGGGTGACTATATCTTAGCTTGATGACAATTCTTATCTTTTTGTCTGAATAAAGCATGATTGCTAACATTAAAATTTGAACATATTGTCTTTATGAAAGTTCTAGTAAATTGTCTTAGCTTTTTAATTACAAAAATGATGTCATTTAGACTTCTAGAACTCAAGATATAGATTGAACACTCAACAGTATCTTGGTTACATGATAAATTCAGACTTCTCTAGTGTTGCTACAATTTGAACTTGAAAATAGCCTTTTTGAATCTTGGACTCCTATGAAAGTTTTAGGTCTATGTCTTAGCTTTCCATCCATATCTAGCAGAACTAAATTCAAGTTCTACAGCTCCAGTTATGATCCAATAACCAAACTGTATTCCAATTTAAACTAAACCAGCATCTCTTTTCTAAGCTTGGCCCTGTTCTTGTCTTCTAAATTTCAGAAGTTAAACTCATCAATCAATCCTTTTATTTATATGATAGGCCTGCATTTAAGATGAATATTTTCTATAAATTAAAGGTATCTTATAGTATTAGACATGATATTATAAAACATGTTCTAATTAAGAAGTTATTGATACTTTAAGTATAAAATGATGATATAAACCTTGATAAAAATACATTTTAAGTACTAAAAATAAAGCCTTAATAAGGATGCACTTTTAAGTATTAATCAATAATATAAAGAGACTAATGTCATCCATATCGCCAAGCTATGCACAAGTCATGAAAGTAAATAATTGACACATGACTACTAAAATTACATGACTAATATGACATATACCCCATGATCTCAGATGTTATGCTTCTATGTTGTTTTTTTATATACACAATCCATGCATATCTTTTAGGAAAAAAACAGAACTTGAGTAATATATTTAACAAAAATAATTGCATCCTAAGCAAGCATATTTTTCCTATTGGTTTCACATGCAGGGAAAAACATAAAGAGAATCTCTTCACAACCCTAAATTTTTAAAATACTAATTTTCCTTTCTTATTAACTCTTCACATGTAGTCAAAACATAAACACTAAGCCCTATAGCAAACATTTCTTCCTCTTTTTTTTTTAAGATAACCCAAGATCCTTTATAAACCCAACAATCCTATACACATAGGAGTTAAGAAACCATGGGTTAAAATCTTGACCCACCATAATAGTAAGGCCATGCCAAATATGAACATTTAAAGCTATCAAGTTCACATGTCTATCTCCTCTTTTACTTAAATAGGTTCCAACACAACGCAAAAACAAGTAAAAGAAACCAACTTAGGAATAAAAAATATTAAGATCATCAAACAAGAAAAGCCATTAAACCTTAGCAATAAAAACAAAACTAGGAGCTATACAAACCATTAAATATGGTGAGACTAGAGTATACCTAAGTTTATTTTTCCAACTATATAAACAAAAACAAAACAATCTTAAATGTAAAACTCCTAGTTATAACCTTTAATAAGTTGCTTCTTCTCCTCTTATAGCTTACTTCTACTCCTTTACTGCATTATTACTTATTTTCCCTTTATATAACATGCTCATTAATCTCATTGTCTCTTTCTTTTCTTTTTGGTATTTTTCTCTCCTCTTTACCTTACCTTTCCATTTCTCTTAAACCTTATTGAGTAGTCTTCTTTCTCTTTACCTTTCCTTTTTTTGTAATTTCACCTTAGTTTCTTCCCTTAATTTCTTCCTACTTTGTTTTCCTTTTAAGTGTCCTCTTGTTTTTTCCTTTCTTTTCTTCTTCTTGTGGTTATCTTTATATTTTTATGAACGCTGTGAAAAGTTAGTTGGTTTTAAAATCTAGTGTGTAAGATGGAACTTGTTTTTTTTAACTCTTTCCCCCTCCTTCGAGTAGGATTTTTATATAGTTTTATGGGATAAATGAGAAGGTCTAAGGATTTGGTGTTGGCCAAATATAAGCCATTGATGTTAAAGGATAGATCATAACCTTGGTCAGAGATTAGGCTCCATATCTTATTTGGTTTTGTAGTTGGAAAGGTAAGGACACACCAGCTTACAGATTTGGTAGTGTTAAAAGGTGATTTTTTATGTAAATTTACAATAAGTTACAGAGTTATAAAAGATCTTATTTTTTTTTTTAGGATAAGAGTTTGAATGAAAGGTGTGAGGGAGTGTGAAGTTTATCTTGTTTGGTAAAGAGATAAAAAATAATCAAAGATATAAAGGTGGCTACTCGGGCAGCTATTTCAGGTTTGATTTTGGAAAAATTAGAAAGATAATGAAACTGGACCTGAAAAAGGTTTCGTTTCATCTTTTATTATTATTTTGTTAATCACCTTATCCTTAAAATAATGTTGTTTTTACTAAAAACATGTCGTTTCATTTAAGCTGAAATGATATTTTTTTTGCTAAACCTAAGTCCATTAGGGTTTCTAATCTGACCCATCCTTTTTAATTTTAGTTCTTGATATTTGACATTTTATAATTGAGTCTTTAATTAACTTTAATATTTAGGAATCTTTCTAATTTTATCTTTAATCACCTTCAATTCGACCCTTAAATTTCATTGGGCATTATAAAATAGTACTTAGTCTTTGGATTTTATAATTTGGTTATTAATTGACTTTTTAACTTCATATTTGTTTTTTAATTTTACCATATTGTCTAATTTGGTCTTTAATTGACTTTTTATTTTTAATTACGCTTTTAATTGATAAAAAATAGACTCTTAAATTGTACCATCTTGTTCATTTTGATCATTAGTCTTTTGATTTGTACGATTGATGAATTTTGGTTAATCTTTCAATTTATCTATGATAAAACCCTAAAATTATTTGCCTATATAGTGTTTTGACCAATTGCAAATTAACTTTTAGCTTACTCATAATCCTAAAATAGTTTTTGCAAGATTTTTATTTTTTTAATATTTTAGATTTTTTAGTTTTTTTAGAAGAAAGTACAAAATTGAAAAAACCTTAAGAGATCCAAAATTAGGTTATTAAAAAGCTTGTTGCATAAATTAAACAAACTAAGTATGGAACGAAGCTCCAAATTATGGTGTCAGGATCA